GTTGCCAGGCTGGAGTGCAGTGGCGCCATCTCGGCTCACTGCAACCTCTGCCTCCTGGGTTCAAGCAATTCTCCTGCCTCAGCCTCCCGAATACCTGGGACTACAGGTGCGTGCCACCATGCCTAGCTAATTTTTATATTTTTAGTAGATATGGGGTTTCACCATGTTGGCCAGGATGGTCTCCATCCCTTGACCTCGTGATCCGCCTGGCTCAGCCTCTCAAAGTGCTGGGATTACAGGCATAAGCTGCCGCATCCAGTCCTGTTTTTTCATTTATTTATTTATTTTGAGGCGGAGTCTCACTCTGTCGCCCAAGCTGGAGTGCAGTGGCACAATCTCAGCTCACTGTAACCTCCCCCTCCTGGGTTCAAGGGATTCTCTTGCCTCAACCTCTGGAGTAGCTGGTACTATAGGCACATGCCACCATGCCCACCTATTTTTTTTGTATTTTTAGTAGAGATGACGTTTGACCAGGTTGGTCAGGCTGGTCTCGAACTCTTGATTTCAAATGATCCACCTACCTTAGCCTCCCGAAATGCTGAGATTATAGGCATGAGCCACTGCACCCGGCCAGTGTGTCTATTGTTTCTATTGCTGCTCATGCTTTTGATGTAATAGCTATCAATTCATTGCCAAATCTAAGATTATGGAGATTTACTCTTATGTTTTCTTCTGTGAAGTTTGGTTTTAGCTCTTAAATTTAAGTTGCTGATCCATTTTGAGTTAATTTTTGTATATGGTATGAGATAGTGGTCCAAATTCATTCTGCTTTCTTCTACTTTTTATAACTTCTATAAGAACTGAAATACATTTAATCTGTGACTTCTTTGAAATGTGTTGTTAGAAGCCAGGATGGAGCAGGTTTTTCTGAACCCTGAGTCCTAGTGGCTTATAACAGCACACATATTTCTTGTCTACACCGTACTAGTCTCTTAGAGCCTGGAGCCTCTGCTCAGGAATGAAGCTGACAAAATGTCCAGCATGTGGTGGTCTCTGTGGAAGGGGTGAGGTCTTTTGTGCTCAATCTTGTCAAGGCTTCCACTTTGGCTTACTTTCACTGACCAAGCAAGTTACTTAGCCGTGGCCAGCTTGATGAAAGATGTGCAGTCCTAGCAGGTGTTCGGAAAGAGAAGGAAAGAAAGTAGGTAATGCACAGTGCCCACCAGAAGATATCACTGAACATGATGGTGTTTGCAAAATATTTGACGTATTTGTTCCAAGTTTAAAAATTTTAAAACATTCCCATTTAAGTGGAGTCTAAAAGGATATGGTAAAGCATTATTGATTCAGAATTTGGGGTAAGTTTTATACTAACTGTGCTTGCTGAAGTTTACTTTTTCATTATTGTAAAGAAAAGTTGTTTAGCTAGATAATAATGTAAATGGGATTTAATGAAGAGAATCCTTGGCTTGATTTAGAAAAACAATTTCTAGGTAATTTAGTAGGATGTATTTGAGTACATGTTATATTCATTTGATAAGCTTTTCTGTTTCAAATAGTGAAACAAGAAGGCAATAATAGTAATAGATTTGAGAAGCACTTTAAGACTATTGCTTTTATCAGGATTTTAAATTTAAAAACAGTAAAACACTTCATAGCTTGTAAATCCTATGGATTAGGATACACTAGTTTGTGTGACTTCCATAATCCAACATTAGAGCTTGGTTACCCACAAAGTAACAAAAATTCTGACATTAATTTCTAGTTGTCTAGTCTCTTACATGCTGTATCTAAATTATAGAAGTATAAAAATTAAAATGTATAGCATTTGTCAGCTACATTGCTAAAAATACGGCATTAGAAAACAGAGAGTGATATTATGGAACACCAGTAGGTGTCAGTCACAGCCTGTGCAAGGGCTGATTATTTGCCAGGAGTTTGGGGCATCTATTCCTAAATGTCTGTGTGTTTTAAGGCATTATTCTAATGAACTGCAATTTTCTCAAAGTGAATGTGCTTATTTTCAAATAAAAACACAATGTACCTACTTGTTAATAAAGACATAGAGATGCTCTATTGGCAGCAAAAGCATTATTTCAGTGCTTAATTGTGTGTAGAGCTACAGCTCAAAAGAACTAACTAGTTTGTCATGGAAAGATTACAATGCTATTTGATGGAGCCAAGTAGACATGCAGAAAGAATGGCCGTGGAGTGTGTGAATTAGCCAGATAAAGTATTGATATTAGCAGATGAAACTAGTTGAAGGTCTAACAGTCAAACAGCATTTCTTTTTGGACAAATCTTTCCTTTTTATAGGAACAGCTATAATGAAGGCCCTCCACCCACTGGTTCCCTAATTTTTCTAGGATGCTTTGTATGTATGCCCATAAACAGAAGTGTATAGTCTCAAGGGAGATACTGATAATAAAAACAAAACACACCAGGGATTTAGACGGATCCACAAGGAACATCTGAGAAATGACTAGTTTTGAAGGACCTTGTTGCATATATCAGTATAGAAACATGGGGCAAAAAGAATCACAGCTTTCAGCATCTGAAAACGAAATACAAATGGTACTGATAAGAGTGGGTACTCGAAAATGCTTCCTTGATTTCTTAACAATATTCATATTCAGTGATACTTGGTTATCACAAAAGGGAAGGATATGTATATATAAACAGTTTGGGATACTGTTGCTAGCTATTTAAATACATCAGTATGCCAGTATGACATTAATAATGACATTTTCTGGTTTAAAATAAACCAGTGATATTCCATTGTGTTCAGGATTTTTTAAAAGCTATTCCTTAGTATAAAATATAAGCCCTTAGTGATCTGTTCCTTGCCATTCTCTGTAAAATCATACATCTTCATACCCAATGGCCCAGACATACCAAACTAATGTCACTTGTCCTAGTGAATGTTTAGATCTCAAATTGTATACAATTGATTATAATCAATTGTATAACAGCTTATGCTGCACACAGCAGATCTTAAAATTCAATTTTAATTTTTTTCAATTATAAAAGACACATGCTCATTGTTAAAAATCCAAGTTTCTCTATGAAAAATTTCTTGGTTATTTAAAATAGTCAACTTTCTAGTCCTTAACACATTAGTTTTTCTATTGACATGATTGTTTTTCTAACATTTTTGAAAATGTAAGATTTCTTCAGGAGTGCTGTTATGTAGTTATAGCAGAATGGATTGTATTTGCAGTTTCCCAGTTGTACCTTGTTTTCTTTTGGCTTTTCATATGTTGCTTCTTGTGCCTAGAAAGCTATACAGAACTACCCTCCTCTCCATTCCATGTCAGCCTGTTATAATTTATGTCTTTTGGAACTCGGGTCAGACCTAATGTCTTCTAAAAAGCCATTCTTGATTCGTTATTACTGATACACAGTTTACCCTATAGTATGCTTGAATGTAGATGAAAAAAATTAGTTCTGACTCAGTGTGCTCCTTCAGCCTTTCGACTCTTTCTTTTCGTTTGTGTAAATTTGAACCCCCTGTGTGTGTGTGTGTGTGTGTGTGTGTGTGAGAGAGAGAGAGAGAGTATATGTGTATATATGCATATCTCTGTGTGTGTGTGTGTGTGTGTGTGTGTGTGTGTGTATGCAGACTGGCTTTCAGTTATTTACAGGAGGCTTTCTCCCCTACCCAGTACCTCCAGCAGAGAGAAGCCTGCTTTCAGTCTGTGAGTAGAATTGTTCTAGGATTCTTTTCATGGAAAGGCCAGCCCTTTCAGGACTCTGACTTTTTCTGGGTAAGGGACCTAGGTTTGTCTGCCTTTCTCTCTTCTGCCAATGGCCAATTTCCTGTCCCTCCCACATCACACCTCTACTCTGATCTCCAGACCTGTGGCCAGGTCTGACACTCCCTTGGACCACATGAGCTCCAGCTTTCCCTGTTCATTTGGAGCTTAGTGGGGTCTTGTACCTGGGGGCCCTGCAGATTTCCCTTATTTTCTCTTGAGGAGCATGATTTGGGAATTTGGAGGATATATTAGTTTTTTAGGGCTGCCATGACAAATTATCAAAAACTGGGTGACTTGAAACAACAAAAATGTATTCTCTGACAGCTCTTGAGACAAGAATTCCGCAATCAAGGTGTGGTCCGAAATGGTTCCTTTTCAGATTGGTTCCTTCTCAGGGCTCTGAGGGAGCATGTGCTCTTTGCGTTTCTCCTTGCTGGGAGTTGCCAGCAACCTTCGGTGTTCCTCAGCTTCCAGTTGTGTCACTTCAGTTTCTGGTTCTTCCCTCTGTCTGTGTCTGTGAAGCACATTTTCGTTTCTTCCGTGACCATGGATTATGAGGTTTGTGGTTTCTCTAAGGCAGGGGTCCCCAATTCCTGGGCTATGGACCTGGTACCTGTTAGGACTGGGGCCGCACAGCAGGAGGTGAGTGGCAGGCAAGCGAGCGAAGCTTCATCTGTATTTACAGCCACTCCCTGTCACTTGCATTACCAACTGAATGCCATCTCTTGTCCTATCAGCAGCAGCATTAGATTCTCATAGCAGAAACCCTATTGTGAACTGCACACGTGAGGGATCTAGGTTGCGCACTTGTTATGAGAATCTAATGCCTGATGATCTGTCACAGTCTCCCATCACCCCCAGATGGGACCGTCTAGTTACAGGAAAACAAGCTTAGAGCTCCTACTGATTCTTCATTATGGTGAGTTCTATAATTATTTCATTATGTATTACAATGCAATAAGAATAGAAATAAAATGCAAAATAAACGTAATGCGCTTGAATCATCCCCACACCACCCCCACAACCTTATCTGGAAAATTGGTCTTCCAGGAAACCAGTCCCTGGAGACAAAAATGTTGAGGACCACTGCTCTAAGAGACATTGCTTTTTATTGTTCGAATTTATAAATTTAAATTGTAGTATGGTCTCTGTAAGAATAGAACCCAGACCTGCTGATTAATTATTTTCACATTTTCTCAAAATTTACACCCCTCAAAAAGGTAGTACTTTGTATTTAAATAAATTAGAAATGTTTCGACATTTTTCAAAAATAAAATTTAATTCTGAGTTTTTAATTTTCAGCCAGAAAACCTTGCTCAGAAGCTTCCAAACCTTGTGGAACTGTGAGTCTGTTTATTCAAATTTTTTAAAAACAAGAATGAACATAATTCTAAGTTATTTGAAATAATAGGATATGTCATCTTAATGTATTAATTTGTTATTTTTTGGTATCATGATCATGGTACTCATGTAGGTAGACCTGTGATTCTACTAAACCCGATAGTATTTTAAAGTATTTAACCATTTACAATTGTATTTTAAATATTTCACTTCAAGGTAGTGAAGATGATGAGAAATGCCTTTTCTCTGGGTACAGTGTCTTCTGTCACAGAATCTTTGTGGATAGTCCATGTAATTGGGAAACTCTATTATTGTTATTACTACTACTACATGTGATACTTCATATAAACAGCGTAAAATATAAGTAAAAGTCTCTTTTCATGCATCCTCCACGCTTCATTTGTTTTAGTTCTTTTTATGATTACCTCCAAGTGCTAAATACTATGTTTACACCATTGTTTTTTTAATGCACCCATGTTAATTGTCTGTTAACTTCCCACTAAGGAAGATAAATTTAGATATCTTACATTTCCCTCTCTGTCTAGCTGCCTCCTGATTTTTTGCAGAAGGGTTTGCATTGCTATTTCTTGTACTCTCTGTTGTTTGGCACGATTTTCAAGCGGTCAAGGAAGGAAATCTAGCCTTACACCTGCCATCTTTTCTGTCATGTCCTTTGTCCCATCCTTTTATTTTGAAAAATTTCAAACTAACAAGAAAGTTGAAAACATAGAAAGAGCACCCGTATACCCTTCACCTAAATTTAACCAATTTTGACATTTTGCCACATTTGCTTTCTCTTTCCCTTTTCTATCTGTCTCCTACCCCTCTGCCCCCCAGAAGCTGAATGATTTGAAAGTAAATTATAGACATAATGTCATTATCATACCTAAGGAAAGTAATATTCATTATAATTTAATACACAGCTTATGTTTAAATTATGTAAGTTTTCAAAAATAATGCCTTTTAAAAGTAGATGTCTGAATTCACTGGATTATTTCCTCTTGATTACATTGATTTAAACATTTTTGATGGTGTTTGACCGCAAAACTTGCTTTATCAAGTTTTTGGTTTCATCCTTTTGTATGTGTGTATATGTGTATTATTTTTTGAAGTTTCTGATAGTTATGCACATCATGGTTTTTTCTTTTCCTCTAAATACGTAAGTTTGTATTTCTAGGAACAAGGCTGTCTTTCCATCTTTTTAGTTTACTTTTGTGTCCTTTAGGTACTTTATAGTTTTATTTAAAACAGGTTTTGAAAATTTCTAAAGTCTGTTACTAAGTATTTAATCTTTTTTTTTTTACTATTGTAAATGAATTTTGTTATGTGTTATATCTTCTAACTGGTTATGTTTTGTATATATGAACAATATTGATTTTTGCATGTTAACTTTATATCCTGGTATCTTGCTGAAATCTTTATTGTTTCAATTAGTTTTCATGATAGATTCTCTATAAAGTTTTCTAGATGTACTCTTACGTTGGAAAATACAGATGGTGTTACTTCTTCTTTTCCAACTGTTATCCCTTTAATTACTTTCTCTAGTCTTATTGCATTGGCTAGTTCCTCCATACAATGTGAAAGTGTCCTGGAGATAGTGGACATCCTCGTCTTTTTTCTTTAAAAAAAAAAACAAAAAATTTAAGACCGAATTTCACTCTTGTCGCCCAAGCTGCAATGCAGTGGCACGATCTCGGCCCACTGCAACCTCTGCCTACCGGGTTCAGGCAATTCTCCTGCCTCAACCTCCCAAGTAGCTGGGATTACAGGTGTCCACCACCACGCCTGGCTAGTTTTTGTATTTTTAGTGGAGACGGGGTTTCATCATCTTGACCAGGCTAGTCTCAAACTCCTGACCTTGTGATCCACCTGCCTCAGCCTCCCAAAGTGCTGGGATTACAGGCATGAGCCCCTGCGCCTGGCCTCTTATCTTCTTTCTGACCTTGCTGGGAATGCCTCTAGGGTTTTCCCCATTAAGAAAGATGCTGACTTTACAGTTAAAGTATCTGTAATCTATTGTTTTAAGCAAATACTCATCTTTATTAATTATCTATTGCTGCTTAACAACTTAGCCCCAAATGTAGTGATTTAAACATTCAATATCTTATATTTTCTGAGGCCCCAGAATCTGGGCCTGACTTAGCTGGGTGCCTTTGCCTCCAGGTCTCTTACAAAGCTGCAGTCAAGGTTGTTGGCCAGGACTGCAGTCTCATCTGAAGACTTAACTGAAGAAGGACCTTCTTCTATGTTCATTCATGTGGTTGTTGTCAGGTTTAATTCCTTGTAGGCTGTTGAACTGAAGGACTCTGTTTCTTGCTTGCTGTTGGCTAGAGCACCTCTCTCAGTTCCTTGCCATTTGGCCTTTCTATAGGATAGTTTACAACATAGCAACTGGCTTCCATCAGAGCAAGCAAGCCAAAGAGCAAGAGAGAGTATACACTTTCTCCCAATCCCTGGTAATCACTAATCTACTTTCTGCCTCTATGGATATACCTTTTTCTGGATGTTTTATATTAGTGGAATGAAACAATATGTGGCCTTTTGTATCTGGCTGCATTAACACAGCATAATGTTTTCAAGGTTTATTCATGTTGTAGCAGGTATCAGAATTCATTCCTTTTTATGGCTGAATAATATTCCATTGAGTAGATACATGATGGTTTGTTTATCTGTTCATCAGTTGATAGACATTTGTGATGTTTCCACATTTTGAAAGCTTTTCCTTTTACAGTTTGTGGTTTGTCAGTTGTTTGTTACAACTGTTTCAGGCAGCTGTGAAGTTAAACAATTGCCTGTAATTTGTTTCAGTTTACAACGGTTTTTGCACTGGGCAATCTCGTAGTCAGATGGAATAAAGACAGCCTTGCAAGTGGGTCTTCCAGGGAACCATGAGACGAATCTTTGACAGTTCTCTGAGAAGGAAGCTTTTAAGGCACTCTAATGTGGTCCTACCCCTTGCTACTGCTTTTCTCCTTGATTGTGGGCTGTTGGTTTTTCAGTCTTCTGCAGAGCAGGAGAGTGGGGTTTGGACTAGAGCAAGTGAAAATACCATGAAGCCTACAACCCACTGTTCTTACTGATGTTCATTTTTTTCTTGAATAAATTCTCCCTATATTACTGTAAGCCTTAGGTTCATTTCCAGAGTTCTCAACATGTAGCATTTAGACATTTCTGACAGTTTCTCATTGTTTTTATGGAAGGGAATTTTTGGAGGTTCTTACTCTACCACTTTTGCTCTAAATTTTTAGTTTTGTAAAAAAACTGCCAATTTACCAGATTAGCTGTCCCATTTTACATTTCCCCTGGCAATGTATGATTGTTCCAGTGTCTGCACATCTTACCAGCATTTGGTGTTGTCTTTGTTATTTTAGTCATTTTGATAGATGTGTGGTTTTTATTACATTGGAATTTTCATTTGTATTTCTATAATGACTAATGATATTGAACATCTTTTTGTAGACTTATTTGTCATTGGCATCTTTCTTTTGGTGAAATGTCTGTCCATGTCTATTGCTCATCTTCTGATTGTATTTTTTTTTTAATTTATGAGTTTTAAGAGTTCTTTGTAAACTAGTTTTCTGTTTTATATGTTGTTTACAAATATTGTCTCCCAGTGGATAGCTTGTGTTTTCATCCTCTTTATGTTCTTTTGCAGAACAGAAGTTTTACATTTCAATGAGGTCCAGTTTATCATTTTTTGCTTTTATGTGTCCTGCTTTTGATGGCACATCTAAAAACTCTCTGTCTAGCCCTACATCCCAAAGACTTTCTCCTTTCTCCACCCACCCCCCAAAGTCTTACAGTTTTTTAATTGTACATTTGTCACCTATATTTAAAAATTTTTTTTCTGGGATTAGAATTCTTAGTGACCATTTTATTTTCCTATCAGCCCTTTCATGATATTCATTATTCCCTGGTGTGCATAGTTTCTGAAGAAACATCTACAGTTGTTACATTTGTTTCTTTGTGTGTAATGTGTCTTTTTCTCCCTTGGGCTACTTTGAAGGGTTTTAAGGGATTTGATTTAGATGTATCTTGTTGTGGTTTTCTTCTTTCTTACCTTTGAGGTTCATGGGGCATCTTGGGGTTGTGTCTTCACAGTTTTTATCAAATTTGGAAAATTTTGACATTGTTTCGTCAGAGACTTATTTATATACCCTGTGCCTGGCCCCTGCTTGTGGAACTCTTACATGTTTGTTAGACTGTTTAATACTGTCCTGTAGTCACAAAGACTCTTCATTTCCTTTTCAAACTTTTATTCCTTATGTGCTTCAGTTTGGACAAATTGTATATTCTAGTTAAGAGTCAGTAATATTTTCTTCTTCAGTGTCTAATGTACTATACTAATCCCACTCAGTGAAGTTTTCTCTTTGGTTATTGTATTTTTTTTTTTTTTTTTAAGAGACAGGGTCTTACTCTGTCACCCAGGCTGGAGTGCAGTGACTCTATCCTAGCTCATTGCAGCCTTGAACTCCTGGGCTCAAGGGATCCTCCCATCTCAGCCTCCCAAGTAGCTAGAAGTACAGGCATGCACTACCATGCCCAGCTACATTTTAAATTTTTTCATAGACATGGGGTCTTGCTGTGTTGCCCAGGCTGGCTTTCTGTTTGTATTTTTGAGACAAGGTCTTACACTGTCACCCAGGAGTCACACTGGAGTGTAGTGATGCAATCGTGGCTCACTGTAACTTCAAACTCCTGGTCTCAAGTGATCCTCCTGCCTCAGCCACCCAAAGCTCTGGGATTATAGGAGTGTCACTGTGCCCAGCCTGTTATTGTATTTATGATATCTGGAAGTTCTATTTATGCTTCTTTATGTCTTACAGTTCTTTCAATGTTCATATTTTCATTTAAATAGTTGAATATAGTTGTTATAGCTATTTTAATGTCCTGTTTGCTAATTCTATCATCTGTGTCATACTGGTTTTATTTGTAGTGACTGGTTTTTCTCCTGGTTATGGGTCATATTTTCCTGATTCTTGGAATGTCTAATACTTTTTGA